ACTCTTGTATGGAAACTTGGATAAAAGCAAAGTTATTCGAAATAAGATTTCTCGTATTATTCACGCTACTTTGAACTTTCTAATCAAGCCGCTATTGATGAGATGAAGAACGAGAGGAGCCGACAAAATAAACTCATGATAGTCGAGTTGGGCGGCCAAATAGAGTAACTTAATTGTTTCTAACGTGCTGGTAATGGCTTAGCCGACGGCGTATTTTGCTAACTAAAGTTTCTCAGGCGCAGTTGATGCCTGCTAGAATAAGGATGCCGGTAGTTTACTCGCTGCGCGAGATATCAAAAGCCTATTAGTTTTCTCATATAGCCGTTTATTGTATAACTAAATCAATTGCTAGTTATTATTATTTTATCAGGACGCCAAAAATTATCAATTCTACGATCTAAACTCTTGCGGTAAAACTGTAATATTTAATATTTATTATAACAAAAAGCTTTTTTTTTATTTCCTGCTCTATAAATGTAATAAAAATATTCGATGGTCGCAGGATCGCAAATGTCTTAATCTCCATAACTTTCGATTAATACGAAATTTGAAGATAGAACTGCAATTTTGTCTGCACATTGGTACCCAAGCTGAGTGTTAATGTAAAAAAGAACAAAGAAGGAAAGGGGGGGACGGCTGCTTATATCACAGGCCATATCCGCACATATTCAAGCGAGAAACGTGTGAATGAGTTTTAAAATGTATTCTTATATATATGTGTGCACGTACTCGAAAAAATAGTCGAGCTATAATAGATAATCATTGTATTTATGCTTTTTGGTAGTCATATAAAACGATATAACTGTAAGAAATGAAATGATATAATATACTATTAGAATTTTAACAATTCTCTCTCCGAGTGAATCAAACCTAGTTAAAGAAGAAAGAATACTTTGCGCAAGTTTAATGAGTTCGTTTTGTGTTCGGACGATATCGGCGAATGCCACAGGTGCTCGCGCTTGTCACATCGAGATATTTCATCGATGTGTCCGCATCTGCAAAAATTGCAAATATTTTTGCGCCAAAATAAACGCATATTTGCACATAGGAATAAATATTATCGTAATGAGTAATCTCCCTTGCGGGAAATATTTAACATTAATTCCCTCGAGTATCCATCCATTTCGATGTTCGGGTTTCGAGTTTTGATGCGGCATTTTATAATGTGGGAATTTAGTTTCTCGTTGAAAATCCTATTTTCCATAACAAAGAAAGAGCTATATTTAAAAAATCACATTGTATATAAATAATGATATAAAATGTTACGAATGTTGGAATTGTTTGCTTTGAAAAGTCTAAATTTTTGACTAAAATTAACAGTACTGTAATTGTCGATGTTTTAAACTTCTGTTTATTGCGCGAAAGAATCAGCTGTTTTTATGCATCGTAAAGATGCTTCGTGAAATGCTTTGATCTCAATTTTACATTAATCTAAAAAATGATTTATGCCAATTCTTTCGTCTTTAACTAGGTTTGATTCACTAGGAGAAAATTGTTAAAATTCTAATAGTATATTATATCATTTCCTTTAAAAATTTCATTAAGAGAAAAATCCACTAGTCATATAATTATTAAAAAGTCACGCGATAATATTTTCATATTTAGTATTAAACTGAACATCTCGCGACGCTTCAAAGAATCGCGTTTCCGCTTCGAGATATTGATTTCTAGTAAATACACATATAGCGGAATGTTGTTTCCTGGAATGTTACAAATTTTTGCCTAATGATTTCGACGTTAAATAATAAAAGAATAACGCGCTCTGATAGACCGATGCCAAAAAATGATGCAAATATTAGGGTCGCTCTTTCGCACCGCATTGTAAACCACTGTATTCTTTCGACCACGTTACGTGAAATTCTCTCCTCCGTAAAAGTTCTGTGCTTTAGTATACATCGAGAGGCCCTTGAAAGGGATGAATGTTCGTATAGGGGAGACCTCTTTTTACCGCGCCCTGTTTCTGATGCTGAAATGATGTTTTTAACCATCGCGCTACTACTATCCCAACCAATTTCGTAAGAGGCCGAGCTGTATGCTAATACAGCTTCCGGAAACTGTCGAAGAATTCACTTTAGGATTCATCGTAACTTTGCATCGGGAATTGACGTGCATGAATATATTTTCTCTCAATATCTTGGAAAATCAGCTCGATTGAACTCACTTCCTTCGGAACAATTTGTTTTGTACGATTTTGAAAAGATAACACATTATGAGATTGCATTAGACGTATAGCGAAATAACTTTATATGTTTTAAACGAGACGCTCTTCTCGTATTTCTATAGTATTTGATTAATTTTATATTAGGACAATTTTTTACGCAGAAGAGAATCTTTTATCTATACATTTCTACCTTTTAACTTTTATACTTTCTTATTTGTTTTTAATGACATAGAATCTTAATTTGATCTCCCTCTCGCGAAAACATTCGACTCGATACAATCGGGTTCATAATCTACCACAATATTGCAACGCAGCGAGTATCACGCATACGATCGATATTGCTGCGTTCGTGCCAGCTGACTTTACTAACTAATTCCCGGTGCATATGTGCATATACATATACGGAAGGCATAGAACAATACAGGAAAAATCTCGAAGGTCAAACTCGGAGTGAAATATTTCCGAATGAACGACGATGAAAGCACCTCGAAATTTTGGGAATAAGGAAAATATCGAATTAGTGATACATGTACAAGTCCCGAATTCCCGTTTCTATCACGTCGTCCTAACCATTGTCGTTTCTCTTGCTCTCTTGTTGTACCGCAACGCCGTTCAAACGAGCGGACTACTAATTATATATTATATTATATATATTATATAATTTTTAATACAAAGAAATTAAGAAAATTGAAATTTTATTTATTTGTGATAACATGTAATGTTATATGTTTTCTTTTTTCTAATGCAAAATTAATGAAAGGCTCCATCAATTTTTTATTTTTAAATTTTTTTTAAATTTTCAGTTTATTATGTCTGTCGCTCTGTCGCTCTGTCCGCGAATACGCGGCAATACAAGCTAATTCGCGTCATGAATGTTAATTACTCGCGATTAATACGGAATAATGTGCTCAGGACTTGCTCCTTCGACCTTGCCCGTTATTCGGACAAGCTTACGCGACGATAAACGCAGTGGCTGACATTATTTTAATAACCGGCGCGAGCAGGAAAACGAATCTTATTATGCAATGAGATACTAACATGTGTGTGTCTCTTTCTCGATAAAACAAATTATGCATGCTGGAGAGAAGACAATTGAAATAAAATTCGAGCGAGAAAGATTCTGTGTACACGCTGGAGAAAATTGAAATATTAAAATTGTCACTAATAAAATCGTCGTATATATAAAGAAATAATATAATCGAAATCGTATATTTCAGCGCGAGATATATGTGATACCGTAAAAATACGGGAATAATATTTGAAGTTAAAATTTCTTTTTACAAATATAAAAAAATTAGGAATATTAAAATTTTATAATGTAATATATAATTTTATATATTATTGGAGAGAAGATAATTGAAATAAAATTCGAACGTTAGTATACGTTGGAGAAAATTGAAATATTGAAATTCGTATTAAAATATCGTATATATAATCGAGATCGTAATATTTCAGCGCGACACATGTACTCGTATATGTGATAGCGTAAAGATATGTGGATAATATTTCAAATTAAAATTTCTTTTTACAAATATTTTTTTTTAAATTTTCAGTTTATTATGTGTGAGAAGAAGAAATGAAATTTTCATGATATAATTTTTGTCAAAATTCACATTACCTCCAAATTATAAATAATAAATGATTTAACACTCACCTCGGTATAATTGTGATACAAAACACGTTGATTGCAAAAATATAAATATTCAGTAAAAAATACTGCATAATTTACGAGAGAAAAACATTTTTTTAATATAAACTTTTATTAAAGTTATGAGAAATAAAAATCTAATTCTAATATAGAAAAATAATCCAATTAAGTAAGTTATATATACCTATATACAAAACTTTCATACAATTTATCTCTGGAAATATATTTTACACGTGCATTTGTATAAAAATATTATGAATATTTTAAATAGTTTTGAGAATAAAACTTAGCATATTTTACGCATTTTTATGCATTATATTACACAATAATTTAAAATGGATCACTATCACGGAAATAAACGGGCGATTAATTTCACAAGTGAGAAAAATAACAAATTAAAGAAATTATAAATTGCTTACCCCACGGTTGTGCTCTGCCGCCGTCCCTCCTGCCTCCCCCTCCTCTCTCTTGTTCGTTCGTCGTTGCTTCATGAAATTTACACTCATACGCGAAAATCCGGTTATTTACGATCGCGCGAACAATAGTCGGTAAAATATTAACACTCACGCGGCTCTACCAATGTTAATCGCACTCGACGTGTATCTTATATTACGATAAATGCGATAATTATTATACGCGACCCACGCTTGATGTTCATTTGGCAAATTACGCGGGCAATTCACGCGTCACTCGCCACGGCAATGCTACCAATATTATCGATGAAAATATCATATATCTTCACGCTTGAAGATAGCTACTTCCGTCGTTACAGTCATGATGCGCGAATATCTAGATGCGATATGCGATGTGCGTAATAACCGATGTCATTCGACCCGGAAGATGGTAGCTATCTTTAAGGATGTTTTGGCTGTACAATAGTAGCAAAAAGCTGTCAAAATTAACAAAAAAAATATATTTCTTACGTTTATACTGTTTGAAAAATTAAATGAATAAATCCGGATTATAAAAAGAATTAACTTTTAAACGAGTAAGTGGATCTAAATCAAGTTTTGCACAAATATTTATTAGAGTTTTTTTAATATATGTGAAAATTTTTGTTTCGCTGGCAATATTTTTTCTTGTCAAATTTGTCAAATAAGTGTTACAATACGCGATTTTTCATAAGAATCAATATATAGTAACTTTAAATTTAAATAATTTCCAAACCATTAAAAGAATTGTGCTCAGGTTTTGCACGGATATTCAGAAGAAATAATAGAACAGCCTACGAAATTTTCATGCTTTTGTCGCGAGTATACGTTCGCATCTCGAGGTAATTCGATTTTATCTTACTTTATAAGTGAATAAAAATACAAGTTTATATATTAAAGATAAATATCTACAGACTAAATATTCGAAAATAATTAGATTTGCATGACGGTCTTACGATCGAATGGAATTCCGCGAAATATCCGCGTTTGCGATATCGCAAAGTCTATCTGTTTCGTATTAACGGAAAAGTACGAAAATGATATCAATGTTACTCGAGTACTGTACGATATTGAACGAATCGAATTAATAATCGAGAATATTCCGCGTTTCTTTTCTAGACTACGTTCCACTTGGTAATCGCAACACTCGCGAGCTTTATCTATCTTTTAATAACTCTCGACGAATAACAAAGATGAAAAAACTCCACGAGTGTTACGATCGCAAGTGTAACATAGCCCTAGGCCCTAGTCACATAAATATTTCGTGGTGACAACAATAACTAGCTACGTCACGGCATTGGAATGCAGTTAGCCGGTCTAGCGTCTAGCGGCGCTGTTGTTTACATTCCACGGCCTGCGGCCTTGGCATTGACGTGACGACGCTCGAGCGAGAAGGTACCGATACGAGATTCTCCGTATGCATTATTAATTATACGTTTTATCAAATTCACGAAATATTCCCTACTTACTTCGTAATACGTTAAATATTTCATGAATTAGAATGACAACGAAATATAACGCTGTTCGACGCTCGAGCAGGTAGCAGCATTAACTTCTCTGAATATCGTCATATTCTTTTCGAGAGGAACGCGAAAATTTGTATTTCCGCGCGCGATTATTTCCAACGACAATGACAATTGGCAATTATTAGTCTACGTAATTGTTTGACTTTCGCAATAAATGAGACGTAATGTTTTTTCCAAGCGACAGTTTCAAATAAAAGATGTGGTATATATGTCGACTATTTATTAATGATTTTCAAACGCGTCTTAACCCTATCAATTATAAACTATCAACTCGCCCATAATAACCGATATCATTCTCGTACTCTTCATATTCTTCGAGTCAGTAACAGAACATCGCGACAGTATTAATCGACCCCAAGTCGAACGACATTGCAACGCGTTTAATTACTAAGTCGTTTAATTACAGCCGTTATTAATCCCATAATTTCCAACCACGTATCGTGTAAATTCGCTGTTAAAATACATCGTTGTACTTTATCAAAGCGCGTAATTTGCGAGATTTATTCCGTCGAAGCTTATATCGTGTGAACGATGAAAAAATCTAATTATATTTTGTAATATTACGATCCGCAAATATTTATATCGTTAATACTTTTTTTTTTTTTAACTTTTATATTTATTCACTTATAACGCGAAGTACAATAAAGTTGTCCTAAAATACGAGCGTATATTATTCACGCGTTAGCAACAGAAATTAGCGTCACCGAGATAGGTGAGAAGTTGGCCGCGTGATTTTCAAATGCTGAACAGGTTGTAGTTTCATGCATATGTAACTTTGCCGCCGTCCTATCATTGCGAATAAAGCGTCGCGTTTAATTAACATTGGGAATCGGGAGTGCCGTACAAAGTGTTGCGCGATCGTCGATATTTCGCTCATTGATACGTGCGCGATCACATGAATCGGGTTTTCGCGAATTATAAGTGCGAATACTACGAAAAAGCAACGAATGACGAACAAGAGAGGAAGTGACAGGAAGGCATCGAGTAACGAAGGAGCAACTTAACCTAATTTAATCTAAACCATGGAGGTAAGCATCTTATAATTTTTTAAATTTATTTTTTACTCATGTTTTATTAATAATTAATTAATTGTTCGTTTATCTTTGTCGCGCGTTGACTGGTGGTCCATTTAAAATGATTGTAATATATGTGTATACATAAAATTTTAAATTGTTTTCTCAACAATACACAAAAAATTTTTTTCGTAAATTATACAGTGTTTTTAAGATTTTAAAGGTCTAGTAAAAAACAAATTAAAAAATTTTATTTCGTGGATTAATTATTTTTCGAGATATTTATTATTTTTGGCACTGGTTTATATATATATAATGTATATATATTTATATATTACAGATCGTCCTAGAGATCGACATAATATCCTACAACTCTTCTGTTGCGCATCGTACCGGTGAGTCAAATTATTTTTTACTTTTATACATATATGTATATAATGTCTTGCACACACACGCACGTATAAGATAAATAATATAAAAAAGGAAAAACTAGAGAGGATTAATCTTTTCCTGATACACTAAGATAATCTGATAAACTAGCAGTTTATAAAAATATAAATTTGCAATGATAACGAGTGCAACAATAAGAAATATGATTTGTTCTTATGTAAATTGCTTGATTTCATTTATCTTACATTAAATAAATATTCAAGCATCTTATTCAGAAGATATTAAATGAAATAAGTAGATAACAATGGGAGCGCAAGTAGGAAAGTGTAATAGGATTTATGATTGCTCTGGTCAATTTGCGGCTATGTGCCGCCGAGATAGGCAACGATAACACAGCTTAAAACGCAACGATAAAATGTCTCTCTATTTTATTTTCTCAATTAGAAATACCGAAATTAATCTCGCGTAAATTTTTAGATGTCAAACAATTATTTAAACATATGAATCACCAATGTCAAAATCTTATTATTTGAGTTTAAAATGGCCAAGTATGGCGAAGAAATAGTATTATTCACACAATAATATCTGAAGATGCTGTAAGTGCGATTATTTTTTCGTCGCAGCGACGTAGAGGTTGAATCTATAAAACATATCAATGTATATGAATAATTATTTTATATTTCCAAATTTTATCTTTGAAGCGATTTCTTCATTGCTCGTAAAACATAACAATATACTATAATTATGAATTTGATATGTTGACGCAGCTACTGCATTTTTAACAACGTTAAAAATTTTATAGTAAAATAACTGCTTATATATATGCCTTGGTATATTAATATGTTTTATTGATTTGACGGTTTTGTCAAAATAACAACGTATACACGTGTATAGAAAAAAAAAAAAAAAAATAGGCGCATATGGAACGGTGCAAAAAGCGATTGTCAGAGGGTATAGAATGGACATCCCGAATCCTTTTCGCGACTCGAATGAAACAGTCGGGCGGATCGATCGGGACGGGCGGTTGCTTTCTAGATTGCCGCTATTCCGCAGAGAAAATGATTTCCGGCATTGAAGCACATCATCGCCTCGCGAGCGTGTCAACAAGGATCAGTATCGGTGAGGAGCGATTTCGCTTGAGGATAGACAGTGGTAAACTGGAATTTCTTGTCAAGGATACAATCGTGCGTACACACACACACACACATACACGATTGTACACATAATCGGGTGCTTTATTTTTCGACATTCCTCGCTATATAACGAAACACGCATTACTTTATTCTTCTGTAGCAATAGTTTAGGAAAAGGGGTTGTGATTCACATAAATATATTTCTCATTGTAATAAAGATGATAAATCGAATGATAAATCGTCAAACGGTGGACGCAACAACTCATGTTCGTATGTAACATACTGAAACTACGTGCAAGCGATAGCATATAAATTCCTTGTTCGGTCTCATATATAAACGATGAAACCGTCATGTCGTCGGCAGAATTCATTTACCGCCTGAGCATTCTACATGCAACGCGAGAGTTTGCCGTAAACAAAACCATCCCTTCGCAACATTGAGATGGCATGCTTTGTTGGCTGTCGCTCTTTTTTTTTCGTAAAATTGAAAGCAGCTTGGAGGACCGAGATCCGCTCGAATCTAGATCTCGGAGTTTTCGGGAATCTCGCACAAATGCGCCAATTCGAATTTTCATTTATCTTCTTGACTTTCTCACGAAAACTTTTAATCTATCTCATCGAATACATTTGTTTATTTTGTAGATAAATCGTGCAAAAAGATACGCAAATGCAAATCGTAATTAATTCGTGTACTTAGCTAGAATTACTCTGATTAACATTACATTAAGTTGATAAACAATATAGCTTGTTCGTCTATAATGAATTGGGATAAATGCAATGTGAATACGCGAAAAATTAAATCCATTTGTTTGTGAATAAATATGTCGATCTTTATTTGAAACAGTCATTCCATTTTACAGATTCATAAATTTATACGCCAGTAGTAACAGAATAAATATTGATAAAAAAAAATTAAATCTAACTACGAATTATTTCCTTATTAGTGCGATAAATTTAAGGAAAATGCAAAATATTGTGTATGCTTATCCATCTCGTAACTTACTTTGGCATTTCATTCGATATCGTCAAAAAAGCAACGCTAAATATAAACCGGTAATAATTTATCATTTTCGTTTTGCGGTGGAAAGTGCAAATGCTTGTTTTTTGCGAGCGAAAGCTCGGTTTTATTTGAATGAACTTAATATTCCATGTATATACACTCGCACATTGTCCTTTGGTTTTTATCTATTTTAATTATAAGAGAAGAAGAACATTATATATAATGTTCTCCTTCTCTTATAATTAAAATAAATAAAAACCAAAGGACCATGTGCGATATATATATATATATAAACGGTGCTTTATCCATTCACATATCGACAACTACGCAGATTAACGCGATTAATTAGTCAATCGTGTTCAAAAAACACTTATTTGATCATCAGTGAGAAATGCGAGACAGAGCTCAATTATTTCACAAAATTGTGTCCAATAATTTCACCGCTTACGAGGCAGAAATAATTTCAATTTCCATTTTACAAAATTCATCACGTATGCACGAACGAATTGCAGTTGAGTCAAACTAATGAACAGAGTTTTCGCATCATGTCGTGTACGAGATGCATCATTGCATAAAGATATTGCGAAAAAACGCCGCATTGCATTTCAGATATTGACGATCACAGCGCAGTTCTGGCAATTTTATATTTTAACACCAACGGAATCAAGATTAATTCCTTTTAATACACACACCATGGATTCTCAAACGTAATTTATTACGCGTAATTGCATCTCGAGATTTATTGCGTCGCGATATGCACGACTGTGTTTTGAAAGTTGAATTATAACGTAATATAATATGAAGTGAGATCATTGCGTGAAAAAATACAAATATAAGATGCAACGTGCAGTTGCCGGAACTCGTAAAATAATAATCTAGAATAATCTAGATAAATGAGACCAACAAACGCGATCTAATTATCTCTTACTAGAAAAATAAGATCAGATATTTTGCCATCATTATGATAAATGACAAACTTTTAGACATCAATATTTTATCGTCAATTAAACAAGAATTGTTTCAAATACCTGGCTTTTGATCATGAAAAGGTATAACAAACGATACTAATACGCATCATTAGTACTTTATATTTCAATAAGAAAATCTCAACATGCATGATATGTAGCAGCAATTTGCAGTAAATCATCGATAATTAACGGCATTATGCTCCTGCGTAGATTAATAGGACATGAATGATCGTTGTTGGTGATTTTCAAAAGGTAGCGCTTTATACGGCCATTTGATTGGATATTTTCTCATCTCTTATCTCTATATCGCTCCTGTTCGAAGATCCGGAAATATCCGTTTCCCCAGTTATCAATAGCCCTGTTGCTGAAATCCCGGTTCTATCCGATATCGGATACCGAAATCGCACTGATAATAATGATAATAATATTATAACAATAATAATATTAATAACAATAATAATAAAATATAAAAGATGAGAGATTAGAATATATCAGTCCCACGTTAAAATTATATTAGATGCAAGAATAAAAATTAGAATTTGCATCAGGTTATATCAAATTTAAAAAAAAAAAAATTATTGTGAAAATAACATTTCTAATCATATTCAATTTACAATTGTGACAAAATTCTTAATTATATACAGTTTATGATCATACTATTGAAAGTTTTATCGATTCTTAATTAAAAAGTGAAAGAATTTAATTGAATTAATCATATATTTTTTTACCGGACCGCGATTCCGTGATAGCGAGTTATTATCGTTTGCAATTTTTTCGAGACAAATATATACATACTTTGTTAGATATTCTTGCATGGTGGGGGGGGGGGGGCGGTATGTT